GGGAGAGGCAGAGGGGGAGGGAGAAGCAGACTCCTCGCTGAGCAAGGAGCTTGACTTGGGGCTTGATGTGGGGACCCTGAGATCATGAGCCTAAGGCAGACGCTTAACCGACTGAACCACCTAGCTGCCTCACTCATCTAGAGAGTATTTGGGTTATAACATATTATGTAGAGGTTATATCTCCTCAACCTAAGAAATATCTCTTCATTGTAAAAATAGGAGACGGGGCTTAATCCCTAGAAAAGTTTCTCTGTCCCGAAGGTAAATGTGAAAACTCAGACACGCTATTTCTTCAAGATAAAGTGTTAAGAGGGAGGGGAAGTAAGCTTTGCTGTTGCTAAGTGGAGAAAATCATTGCCATTTACCCTTCAACTCCTCCATTAAATTATTGTTACTAACATAGGGTTTTCATACTAACATTCATGGCATTTCCCAATGCTCCTCTCTGCACATTTTTTCTTTTTTCCCCCCCCTCCAAATTTGCTTTATGTAATTGGGTGGATATAAATTAATGACCAAAAACTTAAGCAAGATACATGTAACATTTTAACAGAACGTGTTAATCCTCATTTTTTTCTCAAATTCATCTTTAAGTCTTCCCATCCTGGGGCTCCTAAGAAAATTAACCAACATATGGATACTATAGTCTAGTGTCAAATCTTTAAGAAGTATTTATGACATATTGAATTCCCCTACAATGCAATTATGAGGAACCCTTAAGATATTCGTGTTTTGTACATAGAAAAATGTTAGAGTCAAATATTCAACTCAATATAAAATAAACAGTTCTGATTTGTTAGATTGACATTGCTTCTCCTTTTGTTAATGAATGATTCTTAGCTGTAATGTCACTGAGCTGAACAATTAAGTCACCTTTGAGTACATAAGGAAAAATAAACACATGCTAAATGGATAAAACATTACAAACTACATCTGTACTAAACCATCTCTACCACTAACACTTCAGAAGCTTAGAGATTCAGAGTGCTCTTACATTAACTGCCAGAAAAAAAATAAAGGAGAAATTCCCTCTTTGAGATCACAAATATGAAGTCATGTGGTTATTCAGATTCTGCATTTGTGTGCGAAACATGAAATATGTTTATCTTAATTCTCCTGCTTAGACTTGTGAGTTAGCCAGCAGGACTTTCCTTTCCAGGGAAGAGAGATTGAGATGTGTTTTATATAACTTCAGTAACCTCAGCACTACAATAATAAGAGATGCAGTCAGTATCCTTTTGCTATGGTTCCAGACTATAAGGGAAGGAGGTCTCAAGAAAGAATGAACCAAAACTGTTAACAATAAAAAAATGAAAAAAATTTAAAAAAAATTAAAAAAAAAACTGTTACGACTGAGCAACTTTTCTGTTTCACCATGGTGCCACTTTCATTTTACATAAGCATGGTGGCATAATTCAAGCTCAATAAATCAGAAATCCTAACATTTAAAATTTACCTTGGCTTTTTTTTAAATGATATGGCTTATTTTAATAGCAGTAAAATAATGCAAACCAAACAAAAATACAGCTCAGTTAAACTTCTTTAATTATAAATTTTGATTAGCATATTGTAACTGAAAAAAAGAAACCATTAACATAAGGCATACAATTTCTTATAAACAAATAATATCAATATTTATAAACAACATTATGGTTTAGAAATATGTGGTAAGAAGCCAAAATAAATCAGACATAATAAGATACACAATGGACTATCTAGTGAATGCAGACACATTTTCTTTTTTTTTTTTTAGGATTTTTTTTTGTGTATTTACCTTTTTTTTAAATTTAAATTCAATTAACTAACGTATAATGTATTATTTCTTTCAGGGGTACGGTTCTGTGATTCATCAGTCTTATATAGTACCCAGTGCCCATTACAACACATACCCTCCCCAATGTCCATCACCCAGTTACCCTTCCCCTCAGCCCTCTCCCCTCCAGCAACCCTCAGTTTGTTTCCTATGATTATGAGTCTCTTATGGCTTGTAAAATTGACCTTGACTTTTAATTATTACCATATTAACAACCAAAATAATTAGGTAAAACACATAGGAAAGGGTAATAGTAAACCCCACTTTACTAGAGTGGGCTCTTGACATTAACTCAGTTTTTATAGAAAAAGGATGGTGCATCTCAGTTTGCTTACAAGCTAGGAAATCACTTTGAATTCTGCATTTCCTTTTTTTGTTTTTTTGAATTCTGCATTTCCTATCAGCAACCAGATAGAGCACTTGTAACAGGTTATACATAAACTGGTTTTCAAGCATAGAGCCAGCCCCAATGATAATAATACACTATTTAAAAAGAGCTAAGGCAATGATATCCATTTCCAATGGAAAAGAAAGAACTGTGCCAATAAGCTTAAAACTACTTTTTTTGTGCCCATGTTATAAAATGTAGCTTTTAATAAAACCTTGATCCAAATGCCAGCAACTTCAGAAAAAAATTTGGGTCTGGGGAAAAAGAGAGTTAGTCCATTTAGGAAAAACAACCACTATCTTTTTCCTTATCTTCAACACACACAATTTAAACATATACAACTGCGGTAACACTACACAATTCCTATGCGCTGGAGCATAACAACATCTAAATACAATTATAATTTTAAATACTGGGTCAAGTTTACATAAAAATACCACCCTACTTTCCCCCCTCAGTTTCTAAAATATCACATATTTTTTTCCTCCAACATCTGCAGCCTATTCAGGAATTTTTGGGCAACTTTTGTGCATGATCTTAATTCCTAATCCCTGGTTCTTTGGGCCCAGTGACAAAAGATCAAAACCACCAAAGATGATGGTTCACTTGAGGTCAGACCAGAGACCTGGGCTCAGTTAGTCTCGTAGGACGAAAGCAGGGCTTCATCACCTGACTCCATGCAAGAGGGGCACGTGAAGGGTCTCCTCAACCAGTCATCCAAACAGTCCAGGAGATACATGTGCATGCACGGCAGAAATTGAATCGGGTCGCCATGAACAAAGTCCATCACACGGATAACACCTTCCTGGATCGTTTTTTTCTGATCCATCCCTTCCAGGGTCATAAACTCATTTAGGCAGATGTTGTATAAGGCCTATCCTTTGAGCTATCCTAATTTGTTGCTCTTCAGTCAGCTGAGTTGCTAGGGGAGTCTGGCTCGGTGTTGGATGATAGACCAGAACTAGAACTAGTTCCTGATATGGCCATGGTGGCTCCTATTCTCACTCTGCCCCCTCGCCAAAACCAGCCGTGTTGGACTGAGACTCCAGAAGCAGGGAGATGTCATCGGAAGTGGGGGATTGGAGGCAGTTCTCCATCTTCTGGGGCTAGGATGTGTGATCTGTGTGCTGTTCTGACAGTCTTACCTCTCTGTGCATTTTCAAAATCCAGAGTCTTTCAAGGCTCTGAAGATCCCAAAGAAGGGTTCTTGATCAGTTTGGGTCATGGACTTCTTCGCATATGCTTATCGGCCCCTTCCAAGGACAATGCTTTTAAGTGCTTAAGATAATATACTTAGGATTCATAGGAAAAGAATTATATTACAATACATTATTAAATTTATCAAACCCCCAAACTGTTGAAGTGTTGACAGATGTGTTTCTTTATTAATCCATTAAAGTCAAAGATTGCCCTAGTGAGCAAGAATTACCACAGTGTAGTAGGAATGACATGTCTAAATGGTATTGGAAACAGTGAGAGCTTAAGCCGCCCGGGGTTCGCACACAGCACAGGTCCCGCCCATCACCCTGGTTGCTGCCTGTATCCATAAATTCAGGAAATGCTAAGGTTCAGTTGGGGGATAGTACAGATGGAATTTTTGTTCTATACAAGTTCCTAGTTGCCCTGCATCCTATCACGGTTTCCAAGGGAAGAACCCCAGTGAGGAATTTGTCCCCATGCACCATAAACTCAGAAAACGGCTTTGATGAACTAGGTCCTCCTCACAGACCCTGGAGGAGAAGCCAGATCTCGGCCATTCAACTGGAACTCCTCAATGAATTCAATCTTTCAGTGTTTATTATTTCAAGGAGTTCTCGAAAGAAAGTTGTGCAAACTAGGATGCTCTGTTAGGCTCAGCGGTTTAGAGGGGTGAACACTGAGGGGAGGAGCTGAGAGCATAATGTTGAGTGAGCGTTTATTTGCAGATAGTAAAGACTTTACATGGATCATCCCTTTTGAAATCCAGTGCTCTGTAACTTAGACTTTCTTATACATTTGAAAAGGAAAACCCGAGTCCAGACTGCCCAAGGTCATAGAGCCGGCAAGGCAGCTGGCTGTCTCCAGAGCTTGGCCCTAGGCTCTGCGGACGGCTGCAGCATAGAACGCGGCGGCGGCAGAAACCGCGCGGGCCCTAAGCTGTGCATAACTAAGCACACGCTCAAAGCAGCAACCTGAGACTCACAGCAGAGCAAGGTTCTCATCACTCTGGGACACACGCATTTACAAACAACGTTCAGCGCAGCCTCCAGTGAGGTTGGACCTGATTTGACTTTGAAACGTTTACCGTTCTACTGAGTTCCCCCCGTAGGGCTATCCAGCTGCATCCCAGCGAGCCTTCCTTAGTGAACCAGACATCGATCTATCGATAAGACACAGGGAAACTTAGCAACAAGGCTATGATTAGCTTCAAAGTTTATTTCAAGCGTCTCCTAGGGACAACAGCGAGTAGTAACTGAAGATTTCTGGGGATGTCCGGGAAATGTGAAGGACAATGGGAGGCTTCTTTGTGGAAAGCGTGTGCGTTGGTGTCCCGCGTAGTGGCTGCCAGTGTTGCAAGCACACGCATGCACTGATGACTCTGGGAGGATTTGTTGAAGGACTCCCCCGCCCCCACCCGGGACGGACTATTGCTTCAGGCGCCCGGCCTGCCCGGTGCGCAGAGCGCGGAGCAAAGGAGAACGAGGCAATGGGCGGGAACTGAGGGTGGTTACCGCCCCTGCGCTCGCGGTTTTCAAACAGGTCCGTCTCATTGCTATAAAAGGGCTGAGTGGCGCCGCGGCCGGTAGTGCTTGACCGGCTTAGGAGTTTGGTGTTTGCTATGTCTGGCCGCGGCAAGGGCGGGAAGGGCCTGGGCAAGGGCGGCGCCAAGCGCCACCGCAAGGTGCTGCGCGACAACATCCAGGGCATCACCAAGCCCGCCATCCGGCGGCTGGCCCGGCGCGGCGGCGTCAAGCGCATCTCCGGCCTCATCTACGAGGAGACCCGCGGGGTGCTCAAGGTGTTCCTGGAGAACGTGATCCGGGACGCCGTCACCTACACGGAGCACGCCAAGCGCAAGACGGTCACGGCCATGGACGTGGTCTACGCGCTCAAGCGCCAGGGCCGCACCCTCTACGGCTTCGGGGGCTGAGCATTCCCATCTCCCCACCGGAACGCTGCGATTCTCGACCAAAGGCCCTTTTCAGGGCCACCTATCTAGTCGCCAAAGAGTTGCTCACTTTTCTGTAGGTTTCGTTTTATCCTGATGTCGGTGTTGCTACTGTGTTTATAATTTGCAAGTTACGTTGTTTCTGTTGACTTGGTATGTTGTCACAGTCAACTGCCCCCTACATCCTCAAATTTGATACTTTATGCCCGTCGGTTTGTAGTGAGAGGTGGTATGGGGGAGATGGCGTGTTTGCTTCTCAACTGCGTTCCATCCAGAACTTTTATTCTTAAAGATTCGGAGAAGTTTTAGTGTACTTGGGATAGATGTCCTTATAAAGGTTTATGTTTTAACGAGTGTCTGGACTTAGTGTCTCAGTCTTAGACTTAATAAGTCACTTCCTTCCAGTCGCGGGGAGGGCCCTATTGTCTGCATGCAGCACATCCTTACTGATCTGTCCTTTCAAACCCAGGCCTTCAGGATTCAAATCCCTCTTCTACTCTTCAGCAGTGAGGAACTAAGCAGTCCTCAAGTGAGTTACCTCTTTCTTGTTTTTTGGTACTATAAACATGGCAGAGACTGCCCGATTAGTACTTTGGTGTCATCCTAATGTGTTTGATTTTGTGAAGCGTCTTGGTTCATTGTGGTGTAGACTGACCTTTTAACATAAAAATTTGTTCACTTGAACATCATAAAGGCATAACTGGGCAGATGGCTTTCTACCCTTAGGCAACATGTCCTGGCTTTGTCTGGCAGCAGAGGTAAGTGTGTCTAAGATCTCCAAGAAAAGTCAGCAGAAGTCACTCCCAGGTCTGGGCTTTAAAACCTTTTTCCCTTTTCCCACTAATTAAGAAGGTGATCTTGTTTGACCTAGCAGAGACATCAGGTCCTAGGGGACAGCAAAACGATGACTTGAAGGAAAAAGAGCCCTGGATTGATCAGGAGGAGCAGAGTTGCCCCCCCAGAGCTGGATTAATCACATTGGATCTGTCCTGTGTGACTCGAATAACTGTCCTTAAAGCTTGAAAGTCCAAACTGACTCAATCTCACATGACGTGGAGGTAAATAAAAACAGTGAGAGGTTTATTTTCAGCCCGATTCAGGAAGAAGTCCATGATTTTTTCTTAAGGCCCAATGAATCTCTCTTCCATCACCAGTCTTGGTAAATATACTAACAAGTTCTAAGAACGTAGTAGGCCGTGTCACTGAGCAAGTCATAGATTAAGTTTACAAGTTCCCAGTATCCCCTTAGAGATGAAAAAAAAAAGAAACTGGAAACCTTGTACAGAAGGATGCTTAGTCTTGGTGTTTTCTTTGTTCAGGTCACTTGGCCTCTCTGTGTCTCTGTTTTCTCGTCTGTAAAATGGGGAAAACAGTAGGATCTACCTTATGGGTTTGGGGTGAATAAAATCAAAGCATTTTGTCCAGTGCGTGGCACACGGTCATCTCTCTGTTTTCTCTTTTATTATTATTACTGTTACTATTACTGTTATTCTTCATGAAATTAGAGAGGCCCAGAAAAAAAGGAAGGGGACTTTTAACCCATGAAGACATACTCTTAAAGGCTTGAACTGTCATTTTCTATCTAGGTTGTCTGTTACAAATCACTAACCACTCTCCCCTCATAGGTAATGTGAGGATAACTTAATATTTTTTTGTGTGTCACTGAGTGAGACAATGGAGGGTAAGTAATGTGACCATAGCGTGAGTTTACATGTATCCCTGAGAAGCTGCAAGTAAATTAATGAACGTTTTGTGGATCTATTCATAAAAACTCAGTTCCAGATTATTCAAACAAAATAGAAAACTCTCTTGAAAGAGACGTTCTCCTACCACGCTTACAAAATTGCTGAGCAGGCAGGACTTTCTGTTCTGTTCCTTTTCCTAGTTTCTAGGAAAACAAATCCAATTGATCCAGCTGGGGAGATGCCACCATCCGTCATACATGATGACCAGAGAGAACGGGAACAACGTAGTGGGGACACTTCGAGCTCAGGTAAGAGGGAATACTCCTGAAGCTGTCCCCAAAATTTGGGTTATTCTTTATTACTCATAATCAGAGTTTCCAGTGAGATCCATTTACCACATGCAAAGGTCACTGTCTGTTCTCATCTCCAATAGCCATCACAGCAGGCTGTCTGCGACCTCCTTCCTGAAACACTATTTTCTTGACTTCTGTGACTCTACTCCCCTGGTTTTCTTCCTCACCATTTGGCTGCCTTCTGTCTCTCTCTAAAGTTTGGAGTGCTTCCTTATTTTTTCTGCATGGGTAAATGCCTGTTTCAATGTGTGCCAACAATAAAATTTCTATTTCCAAACTCTCCAAAATTTCTATGTTCAGTCCCCAAGTTGTTCTGATTTCCAGACTTACATGTACAACAACGCACTTGACCCTCCGATGGAATGCTTAAGGGGTTTTAAACATTGTCATGTCCCAGCCTCTGAAACCTCATCCTGGTCTATAATTCTGCATCATACATCCGAATTTCAGCAGCGCTTGTAAGGTGTGGGTACGCATACAACCTGGAGACACATTGTCTGGCTTTGACCTCAGCTCCACACCTTGCTCATCCCTCGTCAACTAGAGGGCAAAAATAGTTGTGTCTAGATACTGTGGATGTTGAGAGGACAAAGTGAGCTAGCCTTTGGAAAGAGTTTGGCACAATCTCTTAAACACATGTAAATTGCTCAATAAATGTCAGCTACATGTTTCTTCACCCATGAAACCTGGTTCATAAATAAATTCTTTGGACTTTCTCCTCCCAGAGGACTTACAAAAATTTCACCGGGGTTATTGCAATAACCGTTCCATTCTTTCTTCTGCTTGTTTTTACCTTTAATCCCACAAATACCATTTTCCACACAGCAGCCTGAGTGCTTTCAAATTCTAAGAGTTTCTCAGGACACAATAAAAACCTGGATGCCTTCTTTGGCCCATAAGGTCCAACATGTTCAGGCATCCATTTAACCCCCAGAAATGTCTCTTACTTAACACCTTACCTTTGCGTACAAGGCTTCCAGCTCACAGCGCTTCCAACCTCGAGCACAAACTCCTCCCTGCCCTGGAGCTTTGTTGTACCATCAGTCCCTTGTCCTGGAATTTGTATCCCCAAATGAGGGTCCTTGGTTCCCTCATCAGGAGCATCACCTAGTCAGCATCAGGGCACCTCTGCTTTAGTTCAGATAATTTCATAGCAGTGAGAAGTCCTATTTGAAATGATGGAGTGGAGGAATCAGTGTGTTGATGATCTCTCCTCTCCCACTTAGGATCTCAGCTCCTGAGAGCAGTCTCTTGTCTGTCGTGCTTACTGCTCTAGCTTAATGCCTCACACAGAGGAAATCATCAGTGTTTGACAAAATAAAGGCATTGCTTCAACTGTCCTCTGATTGTTCTTCCTTCATTTTTAAAAAATGACTTTATTTATTTATTAGAGAGAGGGAGCGGGGGGGAGGGGCAGAGGGAGAGGGCAAAGCCGACTCCCTGCTGAGCAGGGAGCCAGATGCGGGGCTCCATCCCAGGGCCCTGAGATCATGACCTGAGCCGAAGGCAGACGCTTAACCGACTGAGCCGCCTAGGGGCACCTGGCTTTGCTTTCCTCATATCCCATAACCTCATCTTTACCACCAGAAACGTCCACACAGGAAGGGGCTTTGGTTCGCTTGTTCTCCATGTATCAGACGTTCTCGAAGCTTAGTAGCCAGAAGCAGCGTTTGTATCTGTGGGAACTTGTTAGAAAGCCAAGCTCCCAAATTTCTCCCAGAGCTGATGAGCCGGAAACCCTGGGAGTGGGGCCAGCAAGCTGTCCTCTAACAAGCCTCCAGGTGATTTCGATGCACACTCAGTTAGAAGCACTGCCCTGTATCCTCAGGACATGATTCCGTGCTTGGCGCTTGAGTATGAATGAACCAGATGGATGCTCCTTCTTTCTGCCTAGAAGGCCTGGGTATCAGGCAGGGCCACTTCCCCTCCTTCTTCCTAAGAGGCTCAGTTTCATTCTGGTCTCCCCCTCCTCCTTGCCTTGTGCTCCGGGGAAGGCTGACTTTCTCTCTGGTCTCGGGGATCAGGTCCTGATTCTACCACACTAGTGCTGAGGGTCCCAGCCTCTTAGTAATGATTAGTTTGGGGCTGGGAATACAGCCAATTCTTTGTGGCTGAGATTCTTTAACGGTGCAGATCAGCTTCCCCAGTAACGTTTTGGTTGAGCTGAAAAGTGAGTCGTTGATTTAAGAAAACTGTGTGTGCGCGTGTGTGCTGGGGATAAAGGGGGAATCCGGGGCATTTCAGGAAGAGAATATTTGCAAAGGCCTGGAGGCTGGAGAGGTCTCGGGGAATTCCAAAAAGTGTGAAAAAGCAAAAAATGAAACAAACAAGCATAGGAGAAAGAACAGGAGGAAAAGAATTCTCTGAGGTTTGGTGTGAGTTTTCCGTAAGGGGTAGTCTACAGCCCTTGATTTCTGATTTCGCGCAGTAGGGGCATCACTGGGAGGCACTGAGAGGAATCATACAGGATCAGGTATGCTTCCCTACACAACTACTCTCCCTGTGGAATGAAAGTAGATTCACTATGGACAGAGGAGATTTAGTATCATCTCAAACTGAAATCAAGATGATCAGAAAAAGTTGAAGTGCAGCTGTAATTTGGCAGCCTGAAAACAAATTCTTGTTGTTTCTTGTTGCTTATTTTGCCTTTTTGACAGAATAGAGGGAGACGCGACAGACTGGCTGGAAGGCTGGCTCTGAGTTCCTAGAGGACAGAGTTAGCTATTCTAGGGTGCATTTGGATTTCCATTTACAGGTGAGGTGTCGGCAACCCAATCTTTCTCACCTAAGTTGCAGAAAGAAGCCCCTCTGTCACAGTGCCTGGAGAAATGAGGGAAGGAGACAAATCCTGCTTTTCACTTGCAGGGTTTAGGCTCTTTGGCATCACATGATCACAGACCAGAGCCTTTCAGACCTTGGTGTCCAGCATCAGAATGTTAACACCCACGGGCTGAGTCCACATGTCCTGCTCTCCACCCTGACCCACCCTGGGTCCCTTTTTCTCTGGGACCTCCCCACACACAGCTGCTCAACGGCGCTGGGGGGCCGGGGCTGGAGACAGGACAGGTGGGCGGCTTGGAAGGAAACTGGCAAGTGACAGGAAAGGGCGGACTGGGGGCTGCTGAGCCGGCCTTCTTATTCTGGGGCTGCACTAGGGAGGAGACTGTGGCGGGTCATCTGGGAGTCAGGCGGAGGGTGGGAGACGAATGCATTCTTCTCCACGGCACCCTAAAAATCAAGTGTAGTGACGATCGCCTTTTCAGGGCAGCTTAAGAAGGAAAGCGACAGGGCACCTGGGTGGCTCCGTCGTTAAGCGTCTACCTTCGGCTCAGGTCATGATCCCAGGGTCCTGGGATGGAGTCCCAGATCGGGCCTGCTTGTGTTCCCTCTCTGGGTCTCTCTGTGAAATAAACTTAAAGGGAAAGCGACAAAGCACGACGAAAAAGTCCTAAGAACCTCTGAGTCTCCTTCCGGGAGAGCCAAAACCGCCCAAGACACATTTTAAAAACCTGTAACAGACGCTCAGCCAAGACTCTAACAGCCCCCGGAAGCGGGCGGGGGAGGGGCAGGGGGAGGATCGGAGCGACACGAGGAACACTGGGCGCGAGCCTGGCGGCACCGGAACAGGAAACCCCGCCTCTCGGTGGCGGGCTTTTCAAATCTCACTGCGGCTGCGTACACTCTGTAGGGTGACACTTGACAAAAGGCGGAGCCCGGAGACTCCGCGGCCGCTTTAGGAGCTTCTAGACTCGGCGCCAGCAGCCACCGCGCCCGAGAAAGCGTTCGGGAGGGGAGCAGGAGCCCCGCGGACCGGGGCCGTGAGCGCTGGCCGGCCCGGTGCGCCGCAGTTCCCTTGGCTGGGGCCCTCGCCACAGAGCGGTCACGGCTGTCAGAGCCACAGGCAGGGAGCGTCACCCCCGAGAACGGGTGACCGGGTCCCCGGTGTTCCCACTAAGCTAAGTGAACGCCAAGCCTAGGCCGCAGCGCGCGGCCGTGCGCAGCTCTACTGGTGAAAATATGTGGCTCTGAAAAGAGCCTTTGGGTTGCG